GGAAAACTGCATTAGACCTTTTTTGTAGAGGACGACGAGATCTACAACCTCTATATAAAAATTTCTCGCTAGCATCAGCAGTTCACAAGTAATTTGCAAAAAACTGTTTTTTCGTTTTTCGTCAATAACTCGTAAACTATTGAAGCTATCGAAGAATTTTTAGATGGAAATTGTAGATCTCGTCGTCCTCTACAAGAAAGGTTCTATGCAATTTTCCCCTAGGACCTACGGTTTAGAAGTTATTGAAGAAAAACGAAATTTTTTTCCAAAAGTTCGCCGTTTCGAGGCTGGGATGGTCGGATTTTGTCAACATCAATAAAATGCCAAATAATCATATGTAACTTGTTAAATACTCGAGTTAGAAGTAAAATTCATAGAATCTTTCTTGTTGAGGACGTCAGGGCTCATAATTTCTGTATAAAAAGTTTTCCGCCAGCGTCAATAATTAATTGAATATTTCCTTCTATACTTTTTAGTACGTAGCTATTTATTATTAGCATTGTTCTTCCGACGTCTGATTTCTTTTTAATTATGGGAAATGCATTTTTCTAAAGTACATAAACTTTTGGAGTTGATTTTATAGCCAATACATCCTTAAAGGACGATGTTTCTGATCGAATCAAATATTTCTTTATACAATCAACGCGAAGATCAATCCACTATCTTTTCTCGTTATCCTTTTTATGTAATCCTGCATCCATGTTAAAGACTATTGAAACTATATTCGTTTGTTTTCGTTTCGACATATTTTATTTATCGTCGTTTACGACGCGAGCTCCGGTTTGTTGCACGAACGAAACTCGCAGACCCTCCAGTAACAAGCGTTTTACTTTTCAAACCTATAAGCAGTCCTGGGGAAGAACTGCAAGGCCGTGAACACGACGATTCTGAACCCGCACGTGCATCTGTTAGGCGAGGACGCCGCGTGCATCGCGTACGTCAGGCTCACGCAGTACATGGACAAGTGAGTGATTATTAATATCATCATAATAATCATCCCACAAAATTCACTTCCCCCAGGAATGATTTATTTATCGATTAAAAAATATAAAATGAAAATACGTCAATCAATTCTATTAGAAAGCTTCGCAAGCATAAAGAGTCCATTTAAATACAAGAATCCATTCTCCACCGAGTATAAAATTCATACTAAGCATCGATCAATGAAATCAATCGTCATCAAGATATTTCTTATGACTATTCTTATTGATTCATCGTGTATAATCTTCGCAAACGGACTTCAGTGGATTAACGGGCAGACGAACGGGAATGGGAACGAAATATTGCTTCACGTGTTTCAGACAAGGGGTAGCACACACTCACCAGAGCGAGGAGAGCCGCGTGTGGCACAAGAAGGACAACAAATGGCAAAACGTGCATTTCCATCGAAGCGCGGCCACGGGGTCGTCGCCGTACACATTCAGTCACAAGTAAATCGGCCGACTTAACCAGGAATAATAAAGAAAAAAGGGGTGGATGTACGGGGAATAAGGGGGTGCTTAATGGAACAGAAGGAACCGAGACAAGGGGCCGACGTGGCGGTGGACGCTCGTCGCCTGGAAACGAAAGAGCCGTGCAAGGATATAACGAGACACAAACTACACCTATGCACCCCTCGATCGGATAAATAGATAAATACGCGCTTGTCTATATCTATTTATTTATTTATCGATATAAGAAAAAGATTTACACGTATATAAAATATACTCGCGTACGTGCACGTCGCATGTAGGTACGCGTGTTAGTCGCTCGAGAGGAATCACGGTCGAACGATTTTCCTCGACGAACTTTAAAAAAGAACACCCTCGTATCGAGCATGGGAACGGACTGATACGATGAGGAAAGGGAAAGAAGAAGAAGTAGAAGCGAGTCAGGGAAACGAGAAACGGAGGAGAGAAAAAGCGTAGAAAAAAAAACAGAAAAAAAAAATTACACACGACAAAATCATTCTTACACCGTTCGTACATCTTCTATTAATTAATTAATTGGTTAATTAATTAATTATTAAATACGACTTTACAAGAGTATAAAATCGATTATATATATATATATATACATATATGAATGAACAAGGTTATCTAGGAAAGATATATCAATACGTTTTCTCGAGGGGGACGCGATGGGAGGGATTCGATGGGGCGGAAGCAGCGAAGAGTCGCATAAACACCTTTGCCATCTTGTTATATAATATATATATATATATAAATAAATACATATATGTTATGTGTTATAACACGTAAATGGGCGCGCACGCGTGCGGACGCGCGGAGGAACAAGCCGAGTGTATGCGCGTTTCGAGAGGAATGAGACGCTTGTTGGCCGATCGCCGTTTTCGGAAAATCGGTCGGTGGACTCGAGAAATTCTACCGAGGCAACTGTTTATATATATATACATTATTTTTTTTCCCCTTCGTTCCAGAGACGACTTTGTTAACTTCTTTTTAATTCTATAATGTGTTATTTATTTATTGAATATTTATTAGAACATACCGGTACACGATCGTTATTAGAGTCTGGCAAAAGTTCACAAGAGCCTGCAGGAGTTCACAGCGCGGTACGTTGGACGTGTTGACTTCGTTTAAGGAGTTGGCAATCCGATTTAGATTAATTTCTTTTTTAATAAAACCGTCTTTCTTTTATTATGCATGGTTCAGTCTTTGTCCAGCCGATCGGACACGCTCGAGGACGCGTGTCCACGTGCGCGCGGACGCGCGCGGTTCGCAACCTATCGCGTATGTATATTAAATACGAAATATATTAGCGGGACGAGTGAACGGAGATAGCGGGGGGGGGCGGGGGAAGAAGCGAGATGACGAATATTATAGGGGAGAGATAGAAAAATGGGGAAACGATTTAATACATTGGAGGTAACGTATTATAAATATAAATATAAACATAAAATTAAAACTTAAGGGATAGTTATTTCTACTACTCTAATTCGTCGCTTCTACGTGTGATTGTTGTATAAAACAAAAAGAACAAAAAATACGATTATTGATTTATTATCATTGTTATTACATGATTATCATTACACGTTACGACTACTACTATTACTATAGTTATTATTAATTATTACCGAGCGAGGGTGTAATTAGAGGAGGACCGCGAGGAATGGTAACGGTTGTAGACGAATGGGCAGAAGTGAAGAGAAAAATCGGAAAAGAACTTGGAGGGTGAACGAACGAAGAGCGAAGAAGATAGTTTGTACCTACCATCTGATTTTTTCCTACGATAAATATGTAGTCGTTAGTCTGACACGTACTGATGGACACGCGACCGAGGACCCGAAAGAAGTGGGAAGAGACGTAGCAACGGATTGCACACGATAACCTGAAGAAAATTGAACGAAGAAAAAGAAGAAGAAGAAGAAGATGAGAGAAATATGTAAAAGCGCGTAACGACCTTTATTATACGTATTTATTAATGCGAGTTTGCGAATCTTTAAAGTGATCGGAGAGAAAATACCGAAGGAGGGTGAGATAGGTTCTCAGCACGGAGGGACGCGTCTCGTATCGGATTTTGCTGGAAGTCATTGTCCTCGTTAAAAAGAAGAGAAGAATAATTGAGTACTCGGGCCGTGGTTTTCTCTATATCTCATTAATGTAATTCTTACTCCTTTCTTCCAACAAGTTCAGTCAAGCAAATTCCAATTTATCTTTAATCGCCTGGCAACGAGATCGACTCTCGCGTTATGAGACAGAGATTAGTCGTTCGACCAATTTCAGTGTCAATTACGAATCGCTTGGACCACAGAATGTCCGCTCGAGAGGAAATGCCTGTCTCGAAGAATCAGCTTGCAGCAAGATCCGGTTCGTTCAAGTTGCTTTCAACGCGAGTGGACGTTGGGAGGTCTTATGTCGTTACTGGAATCGCACGAGGTCGTTCAAGTGACCGAAATGAGAGAAGGTGGAGGATGATCAGGTATTTTAGCTTTTATTCTTCGACGTATTCGATCGTTTTCAAACAAATTAGCTAGAGCGGAAAGGTTCGTTCGATCGATTCTGTATTCTTTCAATTTAACGTCCGTTCGGTCGTGCACGTGACACACGTAATCGTAACGCGTTCATCCGTTCAAAATGCGAGCAGTTTTACTTCTCCGCTCTGTGTCCGTGATCTTTGCTTCGTGGCTAGAGGCTCGTTTTCGTACGTGTGCACCTAATCGTTGCACCGATTCGGACGGATTTCGCTCGTTCCCTTATAGTTAGTTACAATCACGGAGTTCAGGAAGGACCGAGGAACGGATTCGCGTCCTGGAGATCCTTGCCCTGCGCTTCGTTCGAGCTAGGAAGCGTCACGCGATCGAAGAGCATTGCCAATGACTGAATCCCGAGGATACCTTCTCGGGTTCGGCCGCGGGTCGAGGCGTCGACTTCGTTGATCGAACGTCAGCCGGTCGCACGATTTTCCTAAAGAGAAAGAATCGATTGGGCAACGAAGCAGGGAAACAAACGGCGCGTGTCGTCGTCGCGCCGTTCAAACCGAATTAACGAGTTCAAATCAACAGCTTAGCGGTTAATCGCCGTAGCGTTTAATTAAACTAAGTCGTGTTTTAAGGATGAAACCGAAAATAGATAAAAAAAAAAAAGATTTGTCTTCTGCGTGTCGAGGCGCGCGCGCACTCACATCGACCGATCGTTACGTATGCACGATTTTATTACAGCGATTTTTCAGCGCCACCCTTTTAAAACCGACACACACGCGTAGACACACACGGTACACACGACTGATCGTGAGTGCGAACTGAAACGAGAGCCGTAACCCGCGATACGTGACGGAAAAATATAAAAATATAAAAAAAAAAAAGAAATACGAATCAAGTTCCTCCCAAGCGTTCTTCCGGAATGCATGGTTCCGCGTGATCGATCTAAAATACGGTTCCGTGGTTCTCCTGGAATTTTGAAATCCGCGCGTCGATGGTCAAAGAACGTGTTTCGATGTTTGAAGTGTCTATGCAGGCACTAGTGATAACGTTATCACGAGAATGTTATTCCTCTCGATGATAAGAATTGTCTTCTTACGATCTGCTATAATAATAGGTTTGAGTCTCAATCGTTGGTCCCGAGAATTAATTTCGAACGCCAGGAGGAGGCCACGGGAACCGGTTAAAAACAAAGGATAGCTGAACTCGAACTCGCGATTTTCGGTGTTGGCGATTACTCCGAACTCTCCTTTCGTTTCTACGCTAACTTCGAGGGTCGATACATTTTTTATCGTTCAACGACTTTCTGCGATCCTATTCCTACGTACGCAACATAGAGTTATCGATTACATTGTACTTTTTAGCGTGTGCGTCCGTCTATTTGTGCATGCGTGCGCGTGAACAGTATAGATAAAATAGTCTAGACACAGCTCGGTTGATTTAGCAAGACTCTCTTGGATCGATTGGATCCGCGACACTGTCTAGATTCAGCCACGATTCAACGTGTACGTCGCCTCGGGATAATTAAATGTTAAAAGAGAAACTCGTTCACCTAATCTATACCAGCGTCGATAAATTTACATATCTTCTTCGTTGCTAAGTCGAACACTCGTCGAACATCTTTTAACCCTCCGCTTGTTTTATCGAGCGTGCGCGTTGGACGGCTGAATTTTTGAAACACCTTTCTCGAGCTTAACAAAGACTCCGGAATGCAAACTGTGCGATACTGTGAGAAACAAAATAGGAAACACAACGTAGAGAACAAAGTTGAACGAGATGACAAGAGTGGATATACACGTAGACACGTGGATACGCGCCCGTTCGCGCATATGGGAGTTTAGAAAAAAAAAAAAATAAAGAACGGAAGTACGAACGGAAACTCGAAGTGTCGCAGCATTGATCTCACGTTAGCGGACGCGCATTGAAACGAAGGCATCTGTAGAAACAAGAGTATAAATGGGGACTCTTTAGCGGACGTGCGATCCAACTGTGTCTCGAACAAAATCTTGAGCGTCGTCCCTTCCGATTAAACGAGAAAATGATAAAAAAAAAAAGCAGAAAAAAAGAGATGACGAGAAAGAAATAACAGATTATGATATGTAATAGATTGTAAACGTTCACTACTATTCTTATTGATATTATTGTCATTATTATTACTGTCATCATTATTATATTGTCATTGTTATTGTTACTATGATTACTACCGTCACGCGCATTTTAGAGGAATTATTCACGTGCAATTTGCGACGGCGAATTCCGCGCGACATTCGTGTTTTTGCTTCTTAAGCGTTGCGATGTAAAGAATATAAAGAGAGTATATAAGGAGCGAGAAATGGGGCGAAGGGGGGGGGGGAGAGAGTGGATGGCGGTGGGTCGAGACGTGGAAATTCGCGGACACCGGATGGAAGACGTTGGGTACCCTGGCAAATTTTCGCTATTTTCTCTAAATAAAAAGTAAACTTCTAAACGCGCGGAACACAGCGAGTTTCTCGCCGCGTACGAAACGGATCTCGACTTCTCGGTTGATCTCCGTTTTTCTCTTCGCTTATATTACGACACGTCTTGACATCACTTAATACTTTTTATCGCGACGAAGAGTTTCACGAGGAATGTAAGCGCATCAAATTTCGATGATCTTCAAGCTCTAGACTATGTTTGATTTAAAACTAATTTGCAATTTAATCGATATGTACACTTATCGTTAGCTTCCACTAGATCGTTAACGCAGGAACGTTATATACAGTAGTAGTCTAATTATATAGAGTATGATAATCTAATCTGTTAGTTTTACGCTCTAATAACTTCGCGTAGCGTTCGATAGCGAGGATCGGTGATCGGAACGATGCAAATGGATCCGGCAACGCGGATCGCAGTTTTCCACTTCCGATTTCCACGATCCATCCGGTGTGTCGCGACCCGCGAGGTCAGAGCCGATCCGGCGTTTCGACGAGCCGGATGTGTGTGCGCGAGTTTAACTTCCGGCGAGTAAATCTTCGCTTCGGTCTCGGGAGGAACGCCGGTCGGCGATGGGTAAACACTACTGGGATAAGAAGGGAGGAAAGTGGAAAAACGGAGCGAGAGTGTGTGAGAGCGAACGACAGAGCGAGTGTGAGAATGAGAGAGAGAGAGAGAGAGAGAGAGCGGAGTGATAGCGAAGAACAGAACGAACGAGAGAGAGAGAAAGGTGGAAAGTGTGTGGTTTAAAAAGAAATCTCTTATCGGTACATTTAATATAACGCTAATTCATTATTACAGACATTATTGGATTTACGGTAAACGGATAAGCGATTGATTACAATTTTGTCCTAATGTTCAGAGAAATAAAACAAGGAAATACACACCCGTTCCCATTCTACACTTCCGATCTCCGCATCGTATACCACGATCTCTCCCTCGTCTGTCGTGCGTTCCTGCTTCAATTCGCCTTAATTTGCGAAACCATCAATTTTATTAGGCATATCCTCCGGGGAAACGCAGATTGGAATTTAGAGGGAACGAACGGCAGGCAAGGCGCAGGCGACGCGTTTCATAAGTTCATCCATTATTTTTTCATTGTTCGTCGACGGTACTTAAATAGATCCGAGGAAACACTGTGTTCTCGACAGATTGTAAAATGTTTTACGACGGCAATTAAGAAATATTTCAGCCCGCAGCTGTTACCCTCGGCGCTCGCTGAGATCGTTAAACACGGTCCGAGCATTTATTATGAATTTTTCTTTTCGCAAACCCGTTTAATCCGTTGGTTATCGCCGTTATCGTGCAACGATTTGTAACAAGCGATCATGTGTAATAAGCATTCACCTTCCCTTCTCATCACCTAATATATTAATCATCGATTGATCGATTATGTACGCCGCAATAGATATTATTTTATTATCATTATTATTATTATTATTATTATTTAAACGCGATTTTTACGATTAATTTTATTACGAACGCAGCGTTAATATTTTGTTATTAAAATTAGACACTATTGTTGAACGAACCCCGCTTTATATTTTATTCTTCCCGTTTACGTTGTGAATGTCCGTTACCCAGTTTCACCAGCGTTCGCCTATTTTAATTTTGTAAAAGATAAACGAACGAAGGAAGAGGGAAAGGAAAATGAAATTCCGATATTTCTTCAGAATTTTTATTAGAAATAAATCATCTGAACCGATACACCGTGGTATCCTACAACGAGGTTCTCCCCTGAGGGGAATCTTCGCTAGAAGAATCGTCTCGTTTTCACCGGTTTATTTTCCAATCTCTACGTCTACGTCGCAAGTGTCCCTACGTTAACACACTTCAACGGCGTGCTACGTCCTACATAATCTCGATAAGTCTGCTAAAAAATAATTGTTAATCTTCGTTAAGCTTGAAGCCTCGTTTCACACGGAAGAGAAAAGAAACGCGGGGGACATAAAAAAAAGATCGCGACATTTTGCGTCGGATGCGAAACGAAATCAACAAAAAGGGGGACGTATATTGAGTAAATGTACGCGTGCAATCGTTCCGGAGAGTAGCAAGTTGTTCCGTTCGTCGGGAAAATAAAATGTCAGGGTTCGAGTTCTTAAATGGAACGAGATATTTATATATTACGGCACTTTATTACGCGTTCTAAGGCTCATTTAACAAGGGGCGAACGAAGCGTTCCTGCTCAATCATCGCTTAATTGGAGTTACATATGTTCGGAACTACTAGAAGTGCACTTTACTTAGATTTTCAATTAACGGTTCCAATCGAAGAACCGAACCCGATACCGAAATCTGGTACAAAATATTATTTAATATAGTATTTTTATTTTTTTTTCCGAACGAAACAATCTCGTATTCCCCGATAAGTCTAGAGACGATTACCTCGGACGCGTTCGCAGAATCGAAACGCGTTGTGTAAACGGAATCGGAGGAAAAGAAGCAACGAGAGGAAAAGTCTTGAAGAAACAAGCGACTTATCACCAGCGGCGATAATGTTACGATACGCGAAGCTTACCAGATTAAATATACTTATAATTAACCGTGAATTACTCTATCAACGATAAATATACTGATTGCTTTTTTTCCCGTCTCCGTTTTTACTTCATACGATATCACTTGCGGGGGGGTGTGGCAAGAGTGGGGACAGACGGACTGAAATCTGTAATCAGCCGGCGTTAACAGTTGATAAAAGATCGGCCCGATCGAAAATACTGCGCTCGGTTGGAATCTCAGATCCTCATAGGCGGCAGTATCGCCGGAAACGGCTTAGCCACCTCGTAATTCGCCGGTCTCGTCGCGGCTCCTCCTCCTGTTCCGACCGCGTCCTACAAAAGAACCGGAATTATTCTGTAATATCTAGTTTCAACCTGTAAACAATCTAACAATAGACTACTTTGTTTGTCGCCGCGAATGAGGATGAATCGAGGCGAATGCCCGCGTTCTATCGATGATCTACACATTCCCGATTAATCTACCAGCGTGAACAACCAGATGAAAATTTGAAAAAAAATTAGACGTCAGAGAATTCTTAAAGAATAACTCTCCACGCGGATGGAAAGAAAGAAAAGTTAATGGGAAATGAGAGTGTATTAGGAAGAGATCGAAAGACATTAGAAGAAAGTTTAAAATGCACGAATGTGTAGCATTCACGAGCAAATCATTTTTATTATTCTCCTTCGTTTGCCACCAAAGAATTCTGAAAGACTAGATGGTCGTTGATGAATAAAATGAGAAAAATAGAAGTCTGTGCTGACTATTGTTAGTCTAATATTTAAATTAAAACATGTAGATTGATAATTCATATTACGTTAAGTACCTTTCCGTACCGTGTCTTAGTTCGCTTGCTACAATGTAAACAATTATTACCGTTTTAAATTTCATTCTAAAACAAAGACACCGCGATTGTAATTTTCTTTCCTTTCCGATAAGACTCTAACGATAAGAAAAGAAGAATTAAAAAAAAAAGATCAATCGATAACACACATTTCTTGGTATACATTAAGGATGTTTAACATTTTCATTTAATAGTTTTATTTTCATCGCTACAATAACTTGAAGTAGCAAAAATATCGACGTGACATTACATTGTTTAATCCGATATTTCCCTCTCCCTCGCTCGCTCGCTTTCACTTTATGTATTGCATACAAGTGAAAAAAAATGATTCCTCTTTTGTGCATAAAAAATTACAAAATTCACTTAAATCTGCTACGTATATTAACCATTTCTTTTTTTTATTTTTTAATTTAATACTCGGCCTCGAAGGACTTGGGAATGTTAAGCTGAACTTTGTACTTTACTTTATCCCCTTCGGAGATCTTTCCTTTTTCTTAAGAGTGTTCCATGCAGGATAGAACTTTCAAGTAACTGTTGATTAATAGTAATCCATGTAGCTTTTCAAGAAATGTATAAAAAAGGATAACAAGGTATGATGAAGATTTATGATCGTGGAATTATAAAAGCTACAGAGACAAGTTCACAACGTGAAATGGCAGTCAGATTAAAAAGTTTGTACACCGTTATCATTTACTCTGATACCTGTGCGTTAAACCGGGTGGAAAGCTGCTGAATCTCTTCAACGTCTACTTATTCTTTTGATCACGCTGATCATACTAACGTAGTGTCTATTTCGGAAGGTCTTGAGAAGAATTATTATAAATTTTCACTACCTCTGCGTATCTGATTGAGACATGCCAGCATTCTGATCATAAAAACAGCCGGTACGGTCATTGTGTCTTTCGTTTCCTCCAACATGATCGCGTTCCTCTTTTTCAGCTGAAACACACGGTGTTCACGATCGCGTAATTTTTATCAATTCGATTCTGTGGATTCGGTCGGGAAGACAAGGGACATACGTCTTCTGCGAACTTCTCGTCGAAACTCGAGTCCTCGTTTATCGGTGCCCAGAGCTTGACATCGTAATCGATGCCGGCGGTGGCCAATAACGGCAGATACGGATGAGGTTGTACGCAATTGACCACGTGTTGATCAGCTTCGAGCAGCATGCACAGCTTCGCCGTCTCCTTTTCCCAAACGAACACGTGGCCGCAATCGCTGCCTGACATCACGAAATCGTCGCCCCAAAAGTTCGCCTCCTTGATCATAGTCCTAAAGAAACTAGTGTCAACCCGGGAAAGACCAAGCGATCAGATAATATGGCGGTCCTATACGAAACGGCCCATACCGCTCGAAGGCTTTTTCGGGATCAAAAGCGAGTCGACAATTCTGGTTTCCGATTCAAATTACAAACATTGTACGCACATGTCGAATACACCAAGTTAACAACGTTATGTATGGGTGAAGGTTGGGTCCAAAAAGCCAAACTCGCTGAGCAGAAGTGGTGTGTTTCAAGAAAATTCTACTAACGTTCTCTACCTCAACAACATTTAACCGATTAAGGACAACTTCAATTGGCAGTGGATCGTTGTTAATCATTTAGTCACAAGATTATAATCGTATGTACATTATTGAAACGCAGCCCTCTCAAGGTCTCGTCATTTATCGAAAATCACACCGACCATCGGCGACCACCAGCTTAAAGTTACCACGATGAGAATAACGACGGAATACCTAGCGTTACGGTGTCCCATGTATTTCTGTTTCACGCGAAGCTCCGACACCCATGTCTTATCGAACTCATCGGATCCCCGACGTGACCGAGAGTCACCCATGGCCTCGTCCATTTCTGTCTCCGCCGAGCCGATTAATCTGAATTATCAATAAACGTGTTTACATTCTACTCCACGAACTCTTTTCATATGATACGTACGGAAATTCCACTAATGGAATTTTAATCATTAATGACGTACCTTTCTGCCGATCGTGTATCTTCGTCATCGCTATCAATAAAAGCGTTTTCATCAGTCTCTGTCGAAAAGATAACCGCATGATTCCTGATTACTCCCAACGATATATCTGTTCATCGCTGCGTTTACTTACTTTCTTGCAGGTCGTTGTGTCGCATGTGTATATCGTGATTTATACCCGAGAACGTTCCGCTATTACCAGATGGTCCTGTATGGATTCAATTTGTACATAAAATTTCATGAAAAACATTCGATGTCGCAATAAAAAACAAATCGCTCACCCGCGTGATACGCGTCACGAGTCATCTCATCGGCTACGCCGAGAGCTATCGTAGCGCTCGTTGAACTTTTATCCGTATAAGTTAAACTTACAGCAGGTTCACTACCATGTCTGCAAGTAAAACGTTAACGAATGGAAAGATTCGGTCGAACTTAACTGATGAGTATAACTCATATTCGCATACTTTTCAAGGAACCCGACACGCATTTTCGTCAGTCTATCTTGAAGATTCTCCATCATGTGCCCTTCCTGTTTATTTTCCATACTGCTGCACGGAGAATCGTCGTTGCTACTTTGATCGTCTTCTCGGATCTCATTAGTTTGATCCGCAGTACGCGATGAACACGGTTGTATAGAACACGTTTCTGTTCTTATTTGACTAGATTCGGTTTCCATAGGAACATATGACTGCGACGAGCTCTGATCGCTCGTTCGAATCGCTTCGTCCGACGCGACGTCCATATCCATTGCCGCGGAACTACTCGTTTCGGGTCTCCTTTGCAAGCCACTGGTACTGGGGCTCTCCATTTGTTGCTCTGAAAGAAATTACCGATTTTCCATCTGCATGACTCAACTGAAATGAACTTTCGCGCGGTGCACAATTTTTAAATACCAGCTTCTCGATTCGATTGCGTCAGAGCTCTCTCGGTTTCGTTGTCTCGTCTTTCTTCGCTAGATTCGCCGACGCTATCGTTGTTGTTATTCTGAGCGTTATCTTGTTGATCGATCACGCCTTCCAAACTATCCTCGCCGCCGCCGCATAATGCGGCTCTGGTCGCTGGATCGCTTAACATTCTACTTAGGACATTGGTCATTCTCTGCATCAATGAAGTATGGAGAAGAGGTCTGGCTTGAGCGATTTCTAGAACGTAAGGAAGTTAATCTAGTCGATTCACCAGGCTGGGAAGTATCAGCGGTTTGATCAATCGTGAAATACCTGTGCCGCTGCGTCGACCACCTTCGCATTCCGGTCTAGCGTCGGGACCAGTGTCAGACCAGTCACCCCTAAGTCTTAATCTCCGCACCGATAGCGTCGAGCGTAACTTCTTCTTGCTATCCCCTTTACTACATGGGATATCTTTCTTTAACTGTACACTAGCTTGGTCCTACGAAAAACAATCAATAGTACTTGCTCTCCTGAACAAATGCATACACTCGTCGTACCTTTACGTTGAACAAGTATAGGTGATCACTGCTATAACTAACGAGAACGTCCTGCCCATCCGCGCTATAATTCAACGATGTGATTCTATAAGAATTTCCTTCGAACTCTGGAACGGTAAAAGTGCACACGGATCTTCCCATTCGAGGCGATTCTGTCCGTTCTGAAAAATTACTCGACGTCATCTTCACTACTTCGACCTGTACTAATTCTTTCATTGTGTATCAAACGGCGACGTTACCAATAGGCGGTGTTCCAAGCATTCTTCTATCGAATATTCTAACAGTACTATCGGAGCAACCTATCGCTATGTAATAAGGCGCGGCGAGATTTACAGACAAAGCGGTTACAGCTTTGTCGCACGAGATTAATATGTTCCTCTTGCATCTTGGTATCATGCATTGGTGATGAAATCGGAGATCAAACGATCTCACGGTTCCATCCTCTCCGCAGCTTAAAAAGTTATGTGGGTCGTTCGGTATTGTCGCTATCTCGTAAGTGGTACCGACGTGACATTTGAATTGATTATAAAACAGTTTTCCGAATCTCATTAAATCTGAAAGTACCAACATTTCGATTTAGTACAAATCGTTTATAACAATACAGTCGATAGGAAAAAGTTATCGCGACCTGTATACAAAATAATGCCGTCGCCGCTGCATGAAAGTATTCGATGATCTCCGCTGTTAGGTAAAAACTTCGCACTAAATATATTTGCTCTATGAGGCGTCTGGTAAGCTGTTACTAGCTGTAAGAAAATTTCATCAATTGGTAAACCCTTTTAATCGCCCTTTCAGTCTTCAAATTTACTTCCGTGTACAAAACTTTTTATTCCACTCTGACACACAGTTTTAGATTGGTGTCTCTAAGGGATAAAATTAGCACTACACATGTAAAAGGTTTTGTTAATTTGGCATGACTTCTACGTTTCTATCTATGCCGATATTAGACCTTGAATAAAATTCAATCACATACAATATTTCTTTGAAACAGTGTCATTATCAATCTAAGCTTCTCTGCCGTATATTATTGGTGTTAACAAGACATCGAACAACAAAGAAGCACACGTGTAGGCCTCATAAATTGCTTTGTCAAGGATAAAAATATAAATAACCTTGGCACAGAATTTTACAAGGCATACGAGTATAAATAACTTCGATGCATGTATAGGATGAGAGAGTGAAAAATACATAGAATTATTATTTCAATTTGTGAGCTTGCCTTGTAATTATAAGCATTTGTGATAACGAGTTGTTGATCATCGCTGCCAGATAATATTAAATCTCCAGTAGCATTCCAACAGACAGAGTTTACACAACCACTATGAACTTCCAATCTCTTCAGCAATGCCATACGCTGCATCATCTGAAGACTCGCTGAAAGACATTTTAAAACAGAAATCTCAGCGGAATGTTGTCGCACAATCAAAGTTACAAATATAGATGTCTAAGAACATCTTTCACAGAAAATCTTTCGTCGCACTAGCACGTCGTCGCTTGATGATCAGTAATTCACTCGTGTAGGAAAGAAAGATCAAGTCGAAAATATTCATAAAGAGACACAAGTATGGTACAACGTACCTTTGCTGCTGGAATAAAGTTTGACCCTTGTGTAATCATTGTAAGGCTGATAATATATGTCACGGAATATGTTTGAGCGTGTCTTCTTCATGGTTGTCTCCCAGTCGTTACGGTTTAAACGGAGCGTCAATTTGTAGGGCGCATTGATTCTGGATTAGTGTCAAAAAATTCTGATAACCGCGAACGGAGTCAGCGGAATCGGTGAGGACACTTGGCTTGTCCGTATCGACCCGATCAGAAAGCAAAGAACATACTCTTACGCAGCAAAAATCTGCGGGAATCGTACCAGAACGACGCACTAAAAATAGTAACACGAATACTTCGAAAATTTGTGCAATCGGACGGACCGTGATCTGCCGTGATCGCTTCTGAACGGAACAGCTGAGCGAATGGAGCGAATGTATAAAACACGCGCAACTGCACACTGTGACAGCCCGTAATCCTGAACGTCCTGAATGCTGCCAAGTGTCGACGCTACAATCCATTCGCGATTAGAGCTGCTCCATACTAGGGTGATGCTGGTCAATTGGCCATCGAGCGCTCTACGTAATACGTCACGCGGTCTCACCGTTGCGCTCTTTATTCAATTTCTAATGTACGAGCTCTACTTATGTGTATTTATTATGCATGCCATTGCAGTGATTTCCGTCGAACAAGGTATTGTTCTTTAATTACAGTTCTATTTCATGTTCAATTTGTAATCATCTTCGCAAAATTATGCAGAGCGATCGCGGCTCTCCATTTTATCGAAAATTGTACGTTACTGATGCTGAAATAGCAGCACATGCGCTCGAAAACCCGGCCCGAATCCCAACCCAACAGTACTCTGAAATCTGAATCAGAGTATAGCCACTATAGCTATAGCCCTATAGTATAGCCCACGATCCCACGCTGGCCACGCTGGCTGGAGCTGGAGCACTGGACACTGCTGGACACCAGTTCATGAACTATCGATAAATTGAATTTGCTCGTCGAGAAGTTTACATTTTTAAGGAAGCCTCCGCGGAGCGTGTGCCTGGCAAGTGGTTTCGTCACTCCAGTGATTCTTTAGCGTCCGATTCCATTATTATCACAGTTCTCCGTGTTTATCTAAGTAGTGGAGAAGAAATAAATGTGCCCTTCAAGAAGTACTGATCGAGCCTTGCGAAGGCTACCCGAGGTTATGAATATTTAGCATTAGGAGACGACTTGATCAGAGTGATATTGAAACTCAAAGTGATTTGGCATTATCCGCGGCAAAAATGACAGTTATGGATTTTTTCGGTTGTGCCTTTTTGGCTTTTGGCCCGCCGTTAGCTATGTTTACTTTCACTATCGCAGTTCAGCCTATTCGAATTATTATACTAGTAGCCAGTGCCTTCTTTTGGCTCATTTCTCTGTTATTATCATCGGTGCTTTGGTATGCCGTCGTTCCACTGCAAAACCACCTCGCTTTCGGACTCGTTTTCTCCGTATTATTTCAAGAAGCATTTAGGTAATTGATAGGAACGTCGAACTTTACTTCTCCGTGATATTTGGACTGTTTTTTATATGTTTAACTATTCTGCCCCATTTAGGTATCTCTTGTATTGGGTTCTGAGGAAAGCAGAAAGAGGGTTAGACAAAGTGACAACAACACATGTGGCAGATAGCAGACATGTGTTTGCATACGTGTGTGGTTTAGGCTTTGGTTTTATGAGCGGTGCCTTCGCTCTAGTCAATGTCTTGGCTGATGCAGTTGGACCTGGAACTATGGGACTTAGACAAGGCTCGGAGTACTTCTTTGTAATATCAGCAGCGACGACTCTCTGCTTTGTCTTGCTGCATACATTTTGGGGTGTCGTATTTTTTGCTGCCCTGGATAGAAAAAATTGGGGACAAGTTTTTTGGGTGGTTGCTTCACACTTGTTTGTGTCATGTATGACATTGTTGAACATGTATCAAGCTTACGTAGCCACCACCTTATCAGCTTACGTGGTTCTGATAATAACAACGGCACTTGCATTCAAAGTGGCAGGTGGCAGGGTCCAAACTGTACCACACTGCTTTTCAAGGCAGTGAATAAAGTAAAAGCTTTTAACGTAATTGTGTTTAACAGAGATGGACGTTGCAAAACGATGATGCTTTCTTAAGTGTTAGACCCTAAAGAGATTGTTCACTGCTCTGATATAAGTGTAAGAATTAATGGTGTTCGATATAAATAAAAAACCTGTAATGATCGGAATGTATACTTACATACTTCTACACTTGACCAAAACAAGTAGACACATTTGTTGAGTGTATCAGTATTATTTATCTCTCAATGATAATCTCTGAATCATATATTAACATTCGCGGTTCGATTATGTTTCAACGAGATTTGAATAAAAAATTTACTGTATTTTATACGTTCTAGCATGGAATTTGTTGGTCAAGCTGCTAGTCCGTCCCTTAACCCATTGAAACGATTGTATAACTCAATGTTTCGAATCACAATCAAATCGTGTAAATGTACGACACCCTCAAGTATTGCGATAAGTACGAAATCCACATGTGGATTATAAATGTATATATGTAAGAATCTGTGTATCCATATGTAATGTAAGTACATGTTTCATTAAACAAACAAGAGATAAATTTGTGTATGAACTCGCGACTTGTGTCAAAAGAAAAACAATTTGAGAAATGTTAATATGTAAGGAATTATTCAATAGGTTTTTTACGTATACAAGATTCATTAACAATTGTAATTTAGATGTTCAATATACATCTGTATATTTGGCATTGCGTTTCACTTAACATTTTGTTCTATTACTTGATTCGTATTACATTTCATATGTCATCTAAATAAAAACAATTTTTGTATAACTAAAGATACTGTTTATTGTAATGCCTATACTGAGTTACAGATACCACAGGATGAAATATAACTTTTTTCAAACGATATTTAAATATCCGATTCCAAACACATGAAACTCTTGATCAGATTATTTTATTGAAGAAAATGGAATAAAATGAATCATAGTCACGGGATATTGAAAAAAATGCGTGTATTTTCTGTATGCAATAATACAATGGAAAACTATGTGCGTATGCAAGGTAAATTCTGAATATTTTCACCCTGTGGAAGGAATTAGTATTCTACTCAGTCGTTGATAATAATCTACGAGCTACTCGTTAAAGATGCCATGAGTAATTCCATTTTGTTCAAGAAGTTCTTTCCTTCCATTTTATCCCATCGAACTTCTTTGAAAGAACCACCCAAATTTTCCCATTTCCTTTCTCTCACTAACTGTCCGGGGAAGAAATCCTTTCTAGGGGAATGAGCAATTGCAACTTGTACTCCCGTCTGCGGTTCGCATCTAACAGCTATCATTCTGAAATCACAGAAATTGTTTCATATAAAAATTCATACAAATTCCTGCGGAAAGAGAAATTAAGTTACACATACCTATCGCCTATTGGTGAAGCTAAAATACAACTACTAGCGTTTCCTAACGGTTCTACCGCTCCTAAGCCAAGGTGTGAGCTATTCGCTAAAAAGTGCCAACCCATACACTTCGCTAACGCTTGTACCGCCGTTATTTGGTGCTGATATATCTGTAACCCGCATAAATTCATTAGTATTTAACAAAAAGACAGAAACAAGGAACCAATGTTACTGTCATACCTGGCAAAAAATTAGGTCACGTAATTCTTGAGGTTCGTAGCTCATGTGCATCACTCTACCGTCTCGGCAGACACATTTTAAAGATTTCTCTCCTACGTGAACAACCAACGAGGTACGACACACGGCGTCGTACCCATGGGTTAAAATGTTGATTTTTACACAGGACTGAGTGGGAGAATTCAACGCGTTCCAATGAGACACGATCAAAGGATCCTTCACCTCTTTCGCTATCGTGTCTAAAACGTATTCGGTGCGCAACCGCATGAAGTAATGTTGAGCCTGCTGTATAATTTGTTCTAACAACGTTTGACTCTTCGTCATTTCTAGCAATTCGTATCTGTCGGCGGCCGTGGGCCCGGCTAAACATCTTCGTTTGCTCGGACCCAAAGGTCCCGAAGACGGGTGCGGAAATGGGTGATGAGTGTTCTTATGATGAACCTCGCGCAGAAGTTGATGCAACGAGTGTTCCAGTACATGATCGTGTTCGCTTTTGTGAGGAGGAGGAGCGGAAGGCTTCTTGTCGTTTCCCGTACTATGACAAAGTCCTATAATTAACTGTATTCCGGGTAACACCTGCGATCGGGTAAGAATATTCGTGCAGTACACTGTGCATAAAACATCGTCGCATACATCGATCAGAAACGAAAATATAATTACCGTTGCCATTATTTGATTACCGACGACCATGTGAGGTATAGGCGCGCGTAAATGCACCGCTTCTCGTGCTAACTGACTGAACAGTTCTTTACAAAAGAGGACGTTTTGTGCGGCCTCCAGTTTCTGTTGCCAATGCATATCCGCATTAGAACTGTGCGCGCTGTTGTTAAGTAAACTAATATTTGCGCTACACAGATCTTCTTGGTCTACAAGAATTAAATAAACATGCATGATATTTCATCGTAAATGCATCTGTGTGTATGCGTTTTGTGTACTTACCTTTCTGACATAAAACTTCGATGTACGCTACACCTTGTAATTCACTGGGTATAGTAACTCTCAGTGCAGAAGCTTTGGAACTCGGGGGATGGGGTTGGCCTGTTGCATTGTTACTAGCACTAGGAGATGCAGGAGGGCTCGCGCTACTTTTTTCTTCCTCTTCTGCCTTGGTGACTTCAAACATACCAGTCTGAGGGAACTTGGACCCAGCTAGAATCGATCAGTTAGTTTAATATCAGAAAAAAAGCAAATTGTACGATAGAAAATAATCGAACCTGTTCTATAACTAAGATCGCCGATGATCGAATTGGAAACTTTCTTCAAACGCCAGTTTTGCCTTAGTCTCAATAATTCGATATGAAAATCTGGAGTCGTTCTATTCCTAGCTAATTCGTTCTGACAGTTCTTTAATCTATCAGCACCCGTCATAATAACAGATGCTGCCCCAGCTAATGCCTTCTTCCTAGCATACACTTGTATCATAGGTTTCACATCTGTTGGCTCTTGTGGCACAGGATCGAGAACCATGTAATGTTTCTCTTTTGCTATTGCAAGAACATCTGCTAGTACGCACACTTCTGTTAATGCATTCCTATAAGCAAATTAAATTCATGAGCACGATCTCCCTGTTTCAATAAAACCATATTTTAAAAAATACAACACGTAGGAACCTTAATTTATTCCTAACACTGTCCCATGGCCATAAGGAGGACTGGAAAGAAGCTGAGTCTTTTGTGTCCTCTTCATTCTTCTCTCCACTCTCAGGTTCTTTCTTGATGTCCTCACCATTCGTTTTGCTAAAGTCAATTTTCTGCGCGATTTTTGCCAAGTTTTCTGACAGAGTGAGAGGGCTGGAAAACGAAAGATTAATGTGTCTAATTCTATTCTATCAAAGTATGTCACGCAGCATAAGTGTTGCATTATAAGTTGCAGCATAAGCGTTGCATACAGGTTACGTGGAGTATATGAATTGATTAATGAGTTTCGTATGAGATCTATTTTTCGTTCGATTATTACGGGTCGTAGAAAAACGAATTACTCACGCTTGATAAATTTCTTGGCCATCGTAGGTGATTTCTTGGATCTGATTTTCGATCGGTGCTTCTACAGAAATATTCACCGAATACGCCATTGTCGTTCTCCTGTAAACTTACCGCTGCCTTGGAGTAAACATAATAGTGAAAGAACACGATCCTGTATAAGATTTATTCAAATATATTTTAACTAGCGTTTCAGTTTCAATCACTCAGCTCTCGGTATAATACACAAGATTAATAATCTCTTTGTACAATAAATATTATATTACAAAGTTCATACGTTAGTTAACCCAACGTGTCTGAATCTAAACTGCTGCAAGTTTTACTATCTCTACGTCTATTAATGAATGAAAAGTGAAGTAACTGGTGCACAATTCTTATTTCTGTACATAATTCCAAGTTAAAAAGTAATACGTTCGATTCGAAGACAGAAGAAATAACAGAACGCGATGGCACATCGTGTTAAGATAGCATCCCATCAAGCGTCAAGTTAAAGATAATTATTTTATTTAAAAGAGAGTAAGATAATCGTTATTAGTAAGAGCACGTGAGAAACCTATTTATTTGACTGACAACGAACGTGTTTTACAGGTCAAGAACATAAATAAGATGGGTGTCGGGAACAAATTGAGTCAAAGGTTGCTGATATCTTATTGTTCGTTTACTTGCATTTACTTCCCTGGAATTTTGATATTATTAAAGTTAAACAACAATTTATACAACGTGGGGAAGTACAAATTTATTCCAGTCCTGTTGATTCTGCTGTTTGCAGAAGTTATCAAACTGATGTTCCCTATGTTTCACTCAGAATCAATGCTTATACCGAGAACTGAATTGAAACCATCGTCGAAACCCAGGAAAACTTGGTTCAAACCCATGAAAGAATTATTTAAATTTTTACTAGCTGGATTCCTATTGTCCATTATATATTACGTAGTGATCGTACTGTTTGGTGCACCCATACTTACACAGCACGAAGAGACTACTATGCTTACTGCCACATTGACTACTTTAACATTCGTTCCTGCAAGCTTGCATTTAGGAGTAAATGGTGCATTAGAGATAATAACTGGAGCACAATTGCAAAAAGGGAATGTTCTAGCAGATGCCATAAAGACAAATATTCAAGCTACTCTTTTGGGTACATGGCTAGGTGCTATAGCCATCCCATTAGATTGGGACAGACCCTGGCAAGCTTGGCCGATTCCATGTGTACTCGGTGCTCTCCTTGGCTATACAATTGCACACTTCATTACTCTAGCGAAAACATTACCTATGTTAAGATTAGGTAAAAAGGTCCATAGATGAACGGCAATGATCATTGGTATAGATTTTTCCAAATAAATTTTATTAATTTCAAACTTGTGTATAGGCATTCATTTTATCCCTGTACCTTTTCCAAATCGAATTAGATACCTGATCGGCAATACACAGAATAAATAACTATTTAATTATGTATAATATACAAATATATAATAATAATTAAAGACGAGGATACAATTAGTTAATATTACTTAATTTATTACAAATAGTTACGTAAATGTAACCGTGCAGTTTCCTCAATGTTCTATGAAAAAGATGATAAATATATTTTTCAGCATGGGGGTTTTCGGAAGTTTAGCAAAAAAAATAAAGTGTAGTACTGAGGAGAGGAGGAGCAGGAGATAAATAGTATCTTAATTCTCGGTGATTGTAGCATGAGTGTAGCAACGTGCGCAGTGCAAAGCGCAAGCCACGACCTTGGATTGGAGTTCGGAGTTCGAATTCGCTTGGTTCTTATTGCACATTGCACACGTGTCGTGACTTCGTGACCGGTGTTCACTGTTCAGAGGTGTTGTCTCTTTTTGTGCGTTAAATTGCTTACTAATCACAGTAATTTCTAATCATGTCGGCTACCGCTGGGAAGGTACAGTATTTTTCCATTATTACGATAACCGAAACTATTAAACTGAACCGGTTACGTAGAATCGATTTCCGATTAATTAGAAAACGAAGGGTTTTTACATCGATCAAATCTTTGGCCCTACTAATTGAAGACAATTACCCACGTGGATTGAACATTTCTTTTTCCAAACACCATCAGGTAATCAAATGCAAAGCTGCTGTTGCATGGGAGGAGAAGAAACCTTTATCGTTGGAAGAGATCGAAGTGGCACCTCCGAAAGCTCATGAAGTGAGGATTAAAATCACGAACGTGGCCTTGTGCCACACCGATGCCTATACTCTGAGTGGGTTAGATCCAGAGGGAATTTTCCCATGCGTACTTGGACACGAAGGCAGTGGCATAGTTGAAAGCGTTGGGGAAGGAGTTACAGAATTTCAACCAGGTATAAATTATTATATATCAACTACCTTTTTTATATTTCAGAAAAGACTAGATATAGTTTAATAAAACTTGCAGGTGATCATGTGATTCCCTTGTATATTCCCCAATGCGGAGACTGCAAATTCTGTAAATCTCCCAAAACAAATCTATGCAGCAAGATCCGTGGTACACAAGGTAAAGGTCAAATGCCGGACGGAACCTCTAGATTCACTTGTAAAGGCAAGACCCTTGCCCATTTCATGGGTTGCTCCACCTTCTCCGAATACACTGTAGTAGCAGACATTTCTCTTGCCAAGGTACTTATAATTTACTTATTGTTACGATATTCTTTCACCAACTGCATGTCAAATGAACGATAAGCATTGTTTAAAAATATGTATTATATGATACAGATCGATCCCGCAGCACCACTTGACAAAGTATGCTTGTTGGGATGCGGAATACCGACTGGATATGGAGCAGCCTTGAACACTGCCAAGGTAGAACCTGGGAGTACTTGCGCAATTTGGGGATTGGGTGCAGTAGGACTAGCAGTTGCATTTGGTTGCAAAAAGAGCGGTGCCAAACGGATCATCGGCGTGGATCTGAATCCAAGCAAATTTGAAATTGGTAAATTTATCATCTTTTTACCATTGCGAATCTATTAGAATAGAAGATCGAAAGTAACGCGTTCTGTTTTAGCGAAAAAGTTCGGATGTACCGAGTTTGTTAATCCCAGCGATTGCAAGAAACCGATTCAGGAAGTCTTAGTAGAATTAACTGACGGTGGTTTGGATTATACATTCGAATGCGTTGGTAACGTGAACGCTATGGTACGTATTTGTCCGACGAGACTAATTAATACTCGAAATTACATTGGATGATTTAATTGTTTCGTGATTTCTTTTCAGAGAGCCGCTTTGGAATCTTGTCATAAAGGATGGGGCACGTCCGTGATAGTGGGCGTAGCTCCGTCGGGACACGAGATCAGCACTCGCCCGTTCCAACTAGTAACTGGACGCGTGTGGAAGGGAACTGCGTTTGGCGGATGGAAATCGAAGGAGAGCGTTCCCAAACTGGTAGACGAGTACATGTCAAAGAGCTTGATTCTCGACGAATTTATTACGCACAATCTCCCGTTTGATAAGATCAACGAAGGATTCGATTTGTTACACTCGGGCAAATGGTATGTCTAATGCAGCACTTGAAGTATGATCGTTATTAATGCTCGACTAAAATTAATGTTCTTTGATTACAGCTTGAGAGTAGTACTTCAATACTGAGGGAACAATCCTATCCTACTGTCCTTACCGGTTACATTTTGTTTAGTCTACCGTTTAAAGATATTGGTACACGTATTTTGTAATACTCATTTCCAAATAAAGGTAATATATATATATCTCTATCTCGTTGTACTTACTTAATCAGGTTTGACGTGACAGCCAGGTTTCTACAACAATCTTTATTCATAAAGAATTCTTACAGCCACATGTACAATATCAATTTGATGAAATATTAATATTAATAGTAGCTCTGGAATGAAGTAAAAATTCTTTACGCCTTTCGCCTTTTTTTTACCAGGTGTATACCTTACAAAAATCATCACGGTACGAAGATCATAGACGATGATTTCCCATTGTATATAATTATGTATATACAATATGCAAGACTTTCGGTAAAACTATGTACGTTTGCTTCCATATAATATGCTCTGTTAATCTAGGTCGACGATACAATAATAATTCAGGCAGAATATAAATTGCGCTCAACGTAGCAAAGAGTATAGTTAATCGTTAGTCAGTTAATTAATTAATTGATTGATTGAGATTGATCGCGGACGAGATTCTCGTACGCCAAACGTTTAATGGCACCAATGAATTTTCTATGAGTTCTCTTTTTATTTACGCGTTGTCTTAAATATTTCTCAAAGTGACGCGACGTATCGATCGTTATATAATATTAAAATGCGAATATTGTTTTCGGATAGTTAGACTTAGACGCGAGACAGCCCAACGGGAAAATTGTTTTCACTGTAAATGAGCCGGTCTTCAATTATAAGTACTGAAACACGAAATGCATAAACTTAAAACAAGTAATAATACACCGGAGCGCTAAACGGTCCGAAAGAATACTTTGAAACAAAGTAACGGTCCTAAGCTTAAAAACATAATCTCCACACGTTTGTTCGTTCTAGATGAAAGATACGTGTAATAATTTTCACTGGCTATACCTACGTAAATTGCCTTCTAATACTAGGGCATATTCACATAGTCACACCGATCAGTTTTTCTACGGATTACATGTTATAATCTAGCTAGTACCTACGGTGTACCACACACTCGTTTAAGTAAAAGTCGTTAAGTAAAAATGCTTATTAATTACATTAGACGCAGACGAATCACGACGCGTTCGTTAAAGTTTTTTTTTTTAAATTTCCCTTCTCGTCTTCGATCGTGACAATAAAATTAGTGGAACAAAATTCGGAACGCACATGATATATCGACGCGACGTGCTGAACATCAATCATTACATTATCGATCGAAAAGAAAAAATTCCTCGTCGTGATTGAACTGCGGTAGAGTAGTTGTTAGCGAGTATGAAATAGGTCATTCATTTTTGTATGCAGCGTTATCTTACACTAAAGTCTCACAACGCAAGATGGCTACGAGAGAAAGGGGGAAATAAAGGACAGGACAGAGGGAGATTCATTTAATCGTGAAGCGTGAATAAAATAAATAAGCTGCGTCGACACGTAAAAAGTCTATCTGTCGGCGTACGTTTACCTGTGTTAAGAACCAGCGAAGGTGCTTTTATCACGAGAGAGAGCTCGATTAAACTATTACTCGTGTGACTCGACGTCGGACTATGTAAATACTCTTTTCTGTATAATATCCTACTTTTTGTCTCGAAGCGTGTGCATTTTTCTAAGAGTAAGTTTAAACGCGTTTCCTCTGACGCGTCCGCTGACGACCAGCCAGGTTTTCTCTCTCAGCCAGCTTGTTTCTCGTTCGCCTCATTATCGTAAAATCGTACACAGTATTATATATATATTATTTTTATATATATATAGAATACTTAGACGTCGTAATTCGAGATATCGTTAAACCTAGCGCGGTTAGAAATCATAATCGTATAGAGCATTATTTTATCTTCTCTCTTTTTAATCTCTCGCGTTAAAGATAATATCTATGCGTCATGGAATGGACATAGTATGTGATGGAGGATGAGCTTCCTTCTCGCATCTTTCGTTTCTTTCTCTCGTTCGTATGCGCATAAATACAATGGTACGTATGTGATTACGTTAGATTAGATTAGCTTCAGACGAGTTGTGCATGGAGGTACCTCGACGGGCACGTAGGGTGCAACGTGTCTCGTCGACGATCATCGAGACTGTCGCCTACGCGGTCTTGGATCGAATTCTAAAGCACCGCACGAGATCGCTATTGCACGATGTAGCCCCTTTAATTATTGCACTGTACAAGCTTCCTACGACTCCCTACCTCAGCAGCCTCTTAACCCGTTTGGCACTTGTGTTCTCGAACAGATCAATTTCGACGAATCGTCCTAACGAAACCTGAACATCTCCGCATCGCGTCGCACAGACGAAGCCGGCTGAGCGTCGACCGACGAAGGCGTGACAATAAATCGGAACGTAACGAAACGAAACGTCGGGTTAAACATCGGGATCAAAAGAATCGTGCGCGAGAATAAGGACGCAAGATGCACGACGGTACGTCGGATGGTATTTGCTGCTCTCTCGCCGATCACCCGTGTAAATCTCTGTTTCGTTGCTTTTCTAATTGCTCGCGCGTTGGCCGCCGAACTGCCGCGATCACTGAAGACACCTCCAATCACAACAACGATACGCGAAGACCAGCGGACGACTGATTGATTTCTTCGCTCCCCTTCGAGGCCGAAGCGGGATCCCGTCGTCCGGCTGTTTTATATCACGTCAAGGTGTTGCTCCCGTTGCTGGCTGATTCGAACGAGTCTAAAAGTCTAACGGCTGATCGGCGGACCCCTCGAGGTCTTGAGCCGAGTCCGTCCCGCCGTCCTCGTCGTCGTCCAGGTCCACGCTGTTCGTTTTCAAGCCTCCGTTGCTAATCTTGTTCACGATCGTATCTGAAATGCAATGATCGATTATTAATTCAATACACTGCAGATTTTTATACGAAATAAAACGTTTACAAAATGAAATCTAGAAGACGAAGCTCGCCGATCATTGGGACGATCGTCCCCGTGGATTTTTACTTTCGAATATCGAGACTTACCGCAATCCGGTTTGCTACCACGCGTTCGGGTTCCAGCGAACTCGACACCGTGTGGATCCACGCACCAGCAAAGTCCTAGGCCGCGATGACACTGGGTGCTACGATAATATCCCCGAGAATCGCAGACGGGTGCCACGTCAGGCGAGGATCGCTTGCGAACGGCGGCACAGGGACGTTCAGCCTTTGAGAAGCAACCGCACCATTCAGGCCCGCTCACGAAGATATCCCTGGAAGCGAAAACCCAAATTAGATATAACGCTCATTGTTATTGTCCGTTACAGCGATTTCTTGTCATAAGCACAAGTACGTCAAAGCGTATATTCCCAGCAGTTCGTATAACGTAGAAGATCGAGCTTACATCGAGAAATCACCGTATTTCGCGTTTTGGTTCAGTTCGTCTGTACCAGGACGCGAGGCGAGACGAAAGCAATCGACTCGCGTATGTACGCGCTTCTTAACGAGCAGCCGGCCCGCTTCGTAGGCACGTACGCTCGAGACCTATTGCTTGACTCGAGCGTCGAGCCCCTCGAAGGTATTAAAAACTGAAAGGCCTCTGTCTTTCCGTTCGTTCCTTTTTCGGGTCACGTATCCGCAGTTTAATGATTTGATTTACAAGCAAACGGACGACGGAATTACGTAAAAGAAAGATTCGCCGCGTCCGCGATGCGCCGGATTTACAGGGGTACAGCGAAGAGGATCTACGTGAACGGAATGCCGTCATCCTCTTACCCGTCGGTGTCGCAGCCGTCCAGGAACGGTTTCAGACACGGCTCGTTCTGATCGTGTTCCAGCCCATACAACTCGGATAGCGAGAGCCTGCCGTCGTTGTCGCTGTCCAAGTGGCCGAACATCCACCTGACCTCGCTCTGGCACCCGATGGGGAAGTGACCTGGAATCGCGACAGCCGTGTACAAATTTCGATGTACATCCACTGACCGGGATCAAATATAAATAACTATCGCAGTAACGCCTCGGGAATCCCTGCTGTTTCACGTTACTGAGTGAATTCAACACGACCATCGTATATCAGCCGCAGTTAACGGATCGTGAGAGCGAATCGACGTACATCTGTTCACGAGTCTTGAGAGAAACGCTGTTGCCTATCATTAATTCTGATAAACTGCAGATTTTATGCATTCATTAAAATATTAAATATGCAAAAACTGTACTGACACATATGAAGTGTAAAAGTAAGTATTGATATCGAAGAAAGTTTATCAGAATCCCTGAGATTCAAAAATTTATATCAACTAAAATAAAAGTCATAGATTAGAAGATCGACCATTAAATAATGCTGAAGCACTGAAAAACATGATTCATTTCTTTTCAATTCGCTCATTCTCACTCTTACAACGTCTCATTTGATTATACGTCTTACAATACGTTTGAAGATTTATGAACCGGGATGTATATTACCTAAAGACTGAGAGGAACCGAAACAATATCGAGGAATGGACGGGACAAAGTAATCGGGGAGCAGATCCGAACGGGAAACGATTCATTCTAACGGAACAATTCTGAACTGGTACGAAAGTGATTGCGATTGTAGTGAAGTCGAATAGCGTGCAACGACGTGAGCCAGTTCCGAACTCCCATGCCCAGAGACCATCCCTTGCGCGAGTGCGCGGAGCAATTAGTCTCTTGTATATTCAACTAGGATCATTGGGTTACCCATCCCGTTCGATGGTTTATCGTCACCGAAGCCTCTGTGTATCAATGTCAAACGTGTTGCCAGTCGACTAGGCTAACCCTTTTAAGCGTTTCAACTCGAAACGATTCACGGATTTTAATGCGCGTTCTAAATTATTCACAATTAATAGAGAGAAATTTTATAAGGTTCGCCTCCAGTTGTCAATGCATTTGAAATTATATGAGACGTTCTATCAATGAATATTTTAAATATTCCATCAATCGATATATGAAACACTGTATCAATTATTATAATAATCTTTAAGTCCAGTTATGACTCTCGTAAAATTCAGCTCGGTGTCCATAAATTTTATAGAAAGTACGATTTGACAGATTTTCTACTTAATCGTTCATTCAGGAACCGTTTTACTGGATTCTGACGACACGACAATCTATATTTGGATCTGAAAATTCTCGAGGGATTATATATTACATTTTCAGAGATCGGATTTTAGAAACATGTTCCCAGTGACAACTTCCTAATTCGATTCATGTTATTTTACACGAGTTCGTTGATGAGAAATGAATGAAATATTTTTGGACATGTACCTTTGGGTTTTGGATGAGGACGACGATGTTTGGAGTCTGCCATCACGACGGAGAACCAATCCAGGAGACGATTTGCCATTGCGGGTTTAGACGACGGCGGGCAATCGGAGTTTCGCGATGACTGTGAATTGTACTGCGCCAATTTCAACGGAGACGGTGTCTTCTCCATCACCTCGTTGCTCATCAGGTGCTTGTCATCGTACTTGCCTCCGGCCAGTGCCTGAGATTTAACATCGAACAAGTAATAACACTCTTACGACCGGTAGGTAATATAAGTTAGTAGCCTTAACATTTTCACCTGTGATGAAATCTGTAATTGTATGGTTTCTAATTCAACAGTTGAACACCGACACATAGTTCTATCATTTGAAAATCTTCAATATAGTCCCGTCATACTTTTCTTTATTTGCTTTACTTTTTAGAATAATAAGTATTTGTTGCTGCATTCATAAATTAGTATTGAATGAATTTCTAGCCACCAGCAATATTTTTTATATTCAAGCAGCCTCAGATCATAGATTTTTAGACCGAAAGACAGTCTCTGTGAACGTCTCAACTCCACGAAAGCTTTAAGTCTGCATCACTTTAGTTTTTGGCATCCCGTACAAGGACGTTATTCAAACGCGCGGAGCAGAGATTCGTGGCTGGAATCACGGGTGGATAGTACGAAGACAGAGTGGTTGACCGGGTGCAATTATTAACCGTACGAGGAGGGTATAATTTCGGGGTAAATACAGGTCTGGTGCGCGCAAGAACATAGAACGGGGTATATAAAGGGCCCGCCGTTCTTCGGGGCTTTCGTGCGCCAGAAATCTCTCGTTTTTCACTTTTCTCCGCGTCCCGAGCCTCGAGAGCTCGGTGGTGGTGCCGCGTTAATTTTCTCCCCACGGAGACCCGCTAACAATACCTAAGTAGAAACCGTGTATCTCGTCCTCCAACGTTCTAAATTCCTGCCTCACAAATCTCTCCCGATTTCGCCACTTTATACGCGTCCTCCTTTTCAAAAAAACAAACCGCGCTCCGTTTTTATGCCCCGCTACTTATTCTTGCGTTACCTAACGCCTCCGAGAAACTGTTCTCTGTTATTCTATGCGCCAAACGAATGAATCTGACGTGATATGAGTTAGATTTAACTTTCTTTCAATTCTTTTCTATTCTTGTTCAATAATTTTATTACGATGCCATAAACGTTTTACTTCGCATAAAAATCCACGGTATAATAATAATAATAATAATATTTTAAAGGCAGAGGTTGTAATCGTTAGGCCGAAGGGCTGAAACGGAGGGATTCCATTGACTCATGGCATGCGCGTCTTCGAGCTTAGGCTTAGGTTCAGGGCGTCGCAGCCGAGCGTAACGATATTACGGCTCCTCGTCGTCTGGCGACGCTTTCCGTCGCGACGGATCGATGCCAAAGACGTTCGCCTGGGTCGCTCGAAAATGCGAGCTCGAAAATACGATGGGTTTACGCTCGACCAATCCAAGCTATCGAAGGATACTCGACCTCGCGCAGAGGTCCTCTGATCCTCATCTTTAAGGACCATACGAGCCTTTTCACTCTGCGAGAGGAAGGACCTCGTTCTTCATAGGGGAGACTTCAATCTAATAGAAGTTTGTGCTTCCTGTTTTTAGCCGAGAGTATTGGTTTCGTGAAGTTTCGGGTTATTAAGAGCTGGCAGGGTCTGTTGTTTCAGCATGCTGTGTTAATAAACTGGTTACTCTATTGATTTAGTGTTTCCACGGTAACGAAGGGCTATCCGTTCATTGATAGGGTATTCTATACTTTCCCTTTTGTGTTTAAGTGAATACACACCGATTTTGTGTAACCCAGCTAATTAATAAAGACTATTCTTCTCGAAAATCGAAGTTCTTATAACAAGCTTTCTTAATGCCTTACATTAAAGATTCGTGGACGAAACAGTTTCCCTTTTCATAAGTCTGAACGTGTAAGGGTATGAAT